ATTAGCACTACAAAGTCATCCTCTCCAATGTTGTCACAGTTCTTGCTTGATCCATCCCAATCTCATCTCTCCCACTTCCACTGAGTTCTGGCAGAAGCATCACGTATAACACACCATCAAAATTTTTGTTTCTTCATGGCTGGCTGTGTTTATTCATGTCTTATTTTGTTTGCTCATGACTCCCAACATAGCATGGTCGATGGATGGTGTAATGGTTAAAGTGCCTGGCACCGTCGTTGCAGTGGCTGGATTCGAATGCAACAAGATCCCCGACTATCACATGAGTTGTGTGTTTGTTGTTGATACTTTTGAGAAAAAATTACTAAAAAAAAAATTCTGAATGAAAAAATCATTTTAATTGTATACAAATGGACATTCTTCTGGCACTGACTAACTCTGAAAAAAGTTTGGGTGGAGCCGGCGTCCAGCGTTCCGTAGAGAATTTCCGTCTGTTTCGAAAGGTCATCGGCATTTTTTATGGGAGTCAACATGCGTTCGATGGTTAAAAACGCTGCCAGGTTAGCTGTGTATGAGGAGATGATGATGAGGGTGAAGAACCACCATGCACTCCCAACTATCCTCCCTGAGAGAGATCTGGTAGTGGTGGTCGTGATGGGGTGGGTGAAAATGATGCAGAGGATGAAGACGATGATGAAGAAGATCATGTCGATTAAAACAAAACCATATTAAAAAGAATGGTGACACTCTGAGCTTCTGAGCTAACAAGCCAAAAATAAATGAATGTTTACTTGACCAAGCACCACACACACACACGCACAACACACAGACGCGCACACATACACGACACAGAGTGACCAACCTTGGACAAACCTCACACCCCCTTCTCATAAAGGCACCAAGAGCGAACCAGAGACTGTTGAGGATGGTGAAGTCATTGACGTACGTAGGCCCGTGCACGCTGTCTTCTATCTGCCATTCGTTAGGGCTGAATCTGTGTTTTTTGGTTTTTTGGTTTTGTTTGTTGTTTGTTTGTTGTTTGTTTTGTTTGTCGTTTGTTTGTTTGTTTGTTTTGTTTGTTTGTTTGGTTTTTGGAAGTTAGTTTACACTTTATTTATTACTGATATTTAGAATTACAAATACACATGTATCATAGATAAATAATTAAACATACGGATAAATACAAACAAACACAAATAAAATACAACTAAATACAATTACAATACAAACAAAAACAAAACAAAAAATAATTTGTTTTTATTACCTGCTGACGAAAAACAAAACCATCGAGACAGCCAGGTAGGAAAAAATTATACACATCCATATCTTGTAGGAGAGTGGGTCCATGAAGGAGAATACACCTTTGTATGAGTTTGTGTGTGTATGCCTGTATGTATGTGTTTGTATGTGTGTATGTATGCGTGCGTGTGTATGCGTGTATGTATGCGTGTGTGTATGCGTGTGTGTTCATGCGTGCGTGTGTGTGTGTGTCGATGTTTTGATTGGAATCATATTTTCAATGCTTGATTTATGGGGAAATAAATTGCACGCGTCTCTAGTGATGCGTCAATCGTGGAATACGATCTTCATAAATATGAGATGGTGACGTTGGTGAGAGATGATGACGTGGATAAAAGATGATGACGTAGATTAGGGATGATGACGTGGACAAAAAACGTGACGATCGCCTTAAAAAAAAATTAATCAAGAGACGACCCACTCCAAGCAGCTTTTTTATTGGCGCCGCTCAAGAAATATTTCGAGAAGAGGGGCCAATCGTCATAACTCATTCCTCAATAACGCAGTTTTTTGTTTTTGTTGTTATTGTGATCGTTCTCTGACGTCATAATTTGTTTTTGTTGTTGTTGTGATCGTTCTCTGACGTTAAAATTTGTTTTTGTTGTTGTTGTTGTGGTCGTTAGTGGAACCACAGCCGTACGTTCTGCTTAAGAGCGTGCGTGGTTGTATGCTTGTTCTTGCGTCTGTTTATTTAAGACGGGCAGCTTGGGCGATTATCGCAATGATGATGTTGTTTATGATGACGCTGTCGGTGGTGCTGATGATGGCGAGGATGTTGTTGATGGGAACCATGGTGACGGTGATGTTGGTGATGATACAAGAATGATAGAATGATGGTTAAACGATTAAAAAATGATGATAGGGTAAATTATGGTGACTGAAAAAGATGTCTTTAAAGGTCAGGCACTCTTTAACGAGACCAATACAAATTAACCAAACGATACAAAACTGGTCAAAGTTAAGAATTAATGGAAACAAGAACTTCATTATCATCATCCTTATCATCAGCCTTATAATGGCCATCATCATTCTCATACTCCTCACCATCATCATCATCATAACTACCATCATAATCATCATCATAACTACCATCATCATAACTACCATCATCATCATCATCATCATCATCATCATCACCAACATCATCATCATCACCACCACCAGCATCAACGCAAACATTTTCCCCTCTAAAATGCTAAATTGAACGCATAAAACAATTTACGACTGTTGCTTGGAAAGGAAGCATAAAAAAAAATTTCCACTTTGGTTGCGCACAAGTGATCCAACCGTTCCCGGGTTCGATCGCACGCTGGTCATGAAATATTTAAGAACTCGCATATTTATTTCGATGGCTTGTATGATATTTTTTTTATTATTTCATTCGTGTTTTTGATATATTTAAATTTTAAATTCGACTTTTATGAAAAATATTTTATGATTTTTTTTGTTTTGTGTTTGCTTTGCCAACCAAAAAAAACTAAATTGATAAATAAAAGACAAGACGATTGTGATCGAGCTCTTAACGAGTTCATCTAGCACAACCTAGACAAAATATTGCTAATCATTAAAAACGATTTAACCTTTTTTCAAAAATCAACAATCGATTTCGTGTTATGTTCAAATCCATTCATAAGAATATTATTCCAGTTCCTAGGACCCTTACAAAATGTCTGTGAATATAAAATATTGGTTCTAGACTTATTTGACAGCAAATAACATACCACCACTCTCTTAACTCTTGAACTGCTTGCGTACTTACAATAATTATTGAAAGTGGCAGGCAATTTATTATTTGGTTGCCTGTGAACAAGTAGCAACGTGACATAAAAATTTAATTGACGACAGTTGAGATAATTTGTTGTGCTGAGTGACTCATTGGCATGCGACCCTCCTCGACGACACGCTGAGGCTTATGAGGGCTCTTTTCATCACGAGTTTGACAGGATCCGTGTCTTATAGTGGTGTGTGCCACCACGAACGACGTTGCGATAGGTGACAGGCAGATTATCTCAGCATTTGTTTTCTTTTAATTGCTTGATTGTCGAAGTACGCTCGCGTATTTGGTCCATTTTCATGTTCCGGCAAAACTGCAGTTTATCATTTTACACATTTTAGCAATCTAATTACACTAACAGTATCGTCGTGACCTTAAAACCCCACAATATTATTAATAAACGACCCTTGTTCTAATAAGCAGCAGTTACTTTCTGAAATGTAAAAGAGTTCGTTAGTTACGAGCGGCCTGAGTGCCATTGTTCTTCTACGTGAATGACAAACAGTTTAACTTTCGTCCGTGGTGTGTGATTTTGAAGCCTGCCTTAAAATAAATTTTAAATTTTTGCAAAAAAAAACTTGAACTCTAAAGTCATTTTTTCTTTCGTTTCTCTCTCATTTGTTCATTTAATTTTTTATAATTTTTCTCTTCCTTTTCTCAAAAGTTTCTCTCGCTCATCAGCTTCTTTTCATCAGTCCATCCGTCACCCCACCGTGTGTCTTGCATAATAGATTGCAGAATTAAAAAAAATCTTTCTAGCAGAGGAATGCAAATACACACACGCACGCACCAACACGCACAAACACACGCACAAACATACACACACTCATCTGTACATCCACATTGCAACGCCAATTCCTAACAAAGAGGAGCACATATATTAGGTCATCATGACGTCTTCGTTACGTCATACATTCATTCATTTATTTTTGTCATTTACCGCTGTCATTCGTCTGGCTTGAGCACGTAGACGTATACGGATGTTTGGATGAATGAGTGAATGAGTGAATGTTTAGATGAATTAATGCATAAATGTAGGAATGAATGAGTGGATGCATATATGGACTTATTTGAATGAATAAAAGAATAAATTTTTTGACAAACATAACTATGTGAACACATGAATGAGTGAGTGATAAATGGATGAATGAATCCATGAACAAAAGCAAGGATAAATATAAAAATGAACGAACAAACGAATGAACGAACAAACGAATGAATGAATGAATGAACAAATGAATAAATGAACAAATGATTCTTTTTTCAGATTGTTCTAAACTTATTAATATTTACACGTTACATTTTTGCGCCTTGCTTGCTTCAATCCTTCTGAAAATTTTTTTTGTAACGTTCCAGTTACATATGAAGTGTGAATGGCTGTAATTATAATGAAAAGATTTAAAAAAAAACAAAAAGTTTTACCTTTTTTACACTCTGTTTCTCTCTTCTCTACTTACTCTCTTTCTCTCTCTCACGTCCGCTTTCTTTTTTCATATTACATCCTTCTCTCTATCTCACCTTCTTTTTTCTCTTTCTATTAAAAATTTCTTTAGTAACTGTCGTTTTTGATTTTTCATTATTCAGTTGTTTATTTGAAATTTCACTACTTATGTATATATGTTTAACATTCTCTCTCTCTCTCTCTCTCTCTCTCTCTCTCTCTCTTTCTCTCTCTCACTCTCTTTTTTTCTGTATTTTTTTGTTTTAGTATTTTGTCATTTTAATTTGCTATAACTTAGTTATTTTTACAGCAATTTATATTTTAGCATATATTTCTGTCTAATCAGTTTGTTTTTCAACGACTTTGTTAAAAAAAACCAAGCAAGCAAGGCATGTTTGCCGGCATCGTGCATGGAGGATCCATCCATGAATGTCTTTCTTCATAACGCCGTAAAAAGCTAGCCAGGGAAAAGACATATGTTCTATTGTATGTATGTTCACTCTTTGAGGTGTTGTTTGTTGTTGTTGT